GTCCAAAATTCAAATGCTGCTTTCTGATTGGTCGAAAGTTTGATGACGTCATTGGCGCGAAATTTGAATCGTGATCTATATGAGCCCACTCCACTACTCACTCTATTCGACGGAATAGGGTTAAACTTGCACCCACCAAAGGGATTTATGGTACATCCTGAAACAATTTCCGACTGATAAGAACAAGCCTCTCTCCACCAAGGATGTTACACATTTGTCGGCAATTAGGGGTACTGTAGCAGTCTCGTATCCACTTGAATATTGAGAGCTAATGATTTAATTATATTTTTGAGCCTTATTTTGGTGAATGATGTAATTTTGGCGATCAAATATTTTGAATATTCGTTTGCATAAATATTAAACGATCGGACCTTTAAAATTGCGATTTTTTACAATTTGGTGCACTAGCACTTTATGATATCATGGGGATAAATTGTTTTCCTGAATCAGCGTGACAAAACCTTTGTGGTTTGAAAGATAAATACAAAGCTTAGAAAACATGAACGGTATAAAGCCTTCTATTTGTTTGAAAAGTATACGGTTACAAGTTAAATTGATGTAACTTACTTTGAATCATGATGGATGTATATTAATTGTTTAATTCGCAGATACATTAAAAGAAAAAATGAGCATATATTCTCTAAGACAGAAGAAATTTCAGGATGAGCTAAAAGGAGATTTTCAGAAGCAGAAATCAGTTAGCATACCAGAAAACATAAGAGGTATTTTGATATTTTTAATTAAAATTGCTGAATTACAGACAAATGTCAACTTCTCTCTTCTGCCCCCTTCCTACTGCCTATCGGTACTTACATTTGTTGTGATATAGCTTTACCAAGAAAAAAGATAAAACCCTTAATTTTTAATAAGTTAACAATAATAAAAACCAATATACAATATACTAATTATAAATAAGTGTCTACTCCTACAGGTTTCCGCATCACTGGTAAGACAAAAATGGAAACAACTGAACGCTAAATAATTTAAAATCCAGTTTATTAAAGAATTGTTTTGTGTGAAATATATTTACATCCACTGAATATTTTCTTCTTTATTTCTTAAGAAAACCCATTGCGTTCATCACTGCATGAACTACATTAGGCATATCACCTGTACAGATTTCTTGATCAGTGGCCGTTCCGTCAAAGAAACGTACAAAGACATTCGCATCATTAACACAATAATTAATATTTTCAATCCTACTTAAAATGATAATTTAAACAGATATAAATATAAACAATAAAATGTCTTTCTTTGTTTGTTATTACTGGAATTAACAGTCGCAGCTACTGCAGAAAAAAATAACCCGCGTAAGCGGGGTATGTATTTTTTCTGCAACAGCTGCTTCCGTTCATTCCAGTAACAACAAACAAAGAAAGCATTTTATTGTTTAAATAATCTGGAAATTTTTTAAAGTACTACATTTCACCCTCCCTCGCCTGTCACAAAAAAGACAGTAGCTTCACAGAATCTTTCCTATCTGTTCGTGATCGTCTTTCAAACACTTTTTTGTCAATTGTCTAATAATTTTATCGATATTTCTTTTCTATTGGTAGGTTAAAAAAACATACAAGGGTCACTCAGTAATGATAATAAAGCAGTCTTGTTTAATATATTTCATCAATGAAACATTTGGAGATAACGAACACTATTCGAGCTGAAAATTCCTTCAAACATTACAAAATAGGAGCAGAGCAAACACGGACCAAAACATCAGAGGTGGGATCAGGTGCCATGGAGAAGTTAGCATCCTCTGTCGACCGGTCACTCCCGTCGTGTGCTCCTTATTTTGTTCGGGAAGACACGGGAAAATCCGTCCACAATTCAGTGTGTAAACATTAAGTATGAAAAAAAGTTAGCGTTTGACTTAATGATAGATTGTATTTGCTAACAAGGTCATTATATCGACTATAGAACTATAGAAAGATAATTGTGGAAGAAACCAAAACAATTACTAAATGCAACAACAATATTTACGTTGTGATCAGATTCCACGACATTGCTCTCAAACTCAAACTGTGAAGTGCAGTAAATATTAAAAATTCCTCAATATTTTCAATTCTATATTGTCAAAAAAAGTTTTTGAAGAAGAGCAAAACGAACAGAAATAACGTTTATACACTAGACAAAATTGCCAACACACAACCTGGGAGAATTAACATTTTCGTTTTGAAAATTTGTTTATGATGTTTTAAATATATAATCATGTTACTTTAATAAAAAATTAGGTATATAAATGTCAAACCTTATAAATACTCAATAACTACGAGGGTTGATTTTAAAGGTAATGTCACAACTTAGATAAAATTGCTAAAATCGACGTAAAGCAACAAAATTACACAAGATGAAAGCTTTATTTATTTCAAATCAAATCTGAAAAATTCAAAGGAATATGATGTATACTTATAAAAATATCGGATTTTAAACAATGTCCATTTATGGAAGCCGCCGCACCTAAATATTACGTCATATGACGGATAAACACCGTCATAGTTTTGAGCGTTTCCCCTTCGTTTCATTTAAAATATTTGTGATTCGCAAACACTTTTACCAATTCCACTTTCTCTAAGAACTCTTGGTTCCATTATACACTCACTTTTTCATAATTAAACCTTCTGTCAAAATGTTTTGAGCAGTAGCATAAGGCAAACTTAAAAATTCACATGTCACTCTATACGTTTGTCTTTTTGACGTCATACACCATTGAACGCTTCCTTCCGATCCCCTATCTTTCGTTCTTCTTGTCCTCTGCTAATCATTCAGTGATCAATCACCCGCCCAAAATTGCTGAAACCATCCATTAAGATGTCTCTTATTTACATTCTTTATTCTGAAGGTCTGATTGATTAATGAAAATGTCGCTGGTGATGATTCCCATGTTTTGAAGCAAATATGCATTACAACTCGTCAAGCCTTTTTTTCCCAATTTCGACAATCCCTTTGTTAAATTCATCAGAGTAAATCAACGATGTTTAGGATCACATATATCAATGCCATCATTTATTTACAATCAACGTGGATTTGGTATGGACACTAAGGCAGTGAATGATTACTATGCGATATGATAGTCAATGGTTGTTTGTTATTTGATTTAAAACTGGGGAATACCTCTTTGGCAATCTCACAGACCACCTTTAGTGATCAAGAATTTCATATCTAGGCAAAAACGGAGCACAGTGCACATCGGGATATTGGTTTTCGGACAAGAAGTTCATTAAAAATTTCATGATACCAAAACATTTGTCAACTTCACTGTTTTGGAAATAATGGCTAGTACTTGCTCCGATCCGGCAAATGTTCAATTCACAAATTAACAAGTGGTGCGTTAGCAGTTTTGTCTAGTGTAAAATCTTTAAATGGTAAAATTGCAGTAAGCGTATATCTGAATAAGTTAAATTATAAGAAAGTTAAACAGTGCTTTTATAAAAAGAGGAACATTTTGAACATTTTTTTAAAACAAGGATTCTTTAATCACCAGATCTACATAGGAAAATATTGGATTCATGGAAGAAAGCAGTCTTTTTTGAAACCTCCTCATATGGAAACATGAAAGAATTTTTTTTATCCAATCAAGTTGTGGTTGTGGTTGGGCCTCCTGGGTCTGGAAAAACCGCTTTGATCCGCCACATCGCTTTACAGCTGGAGTCCGAGTATCAGATTGTTCCAATCTCCAAACCTGAGGAAATTATCAACTACGGCGATTTAAACAGACCACAAATATTTGTCATAGATGATGTATTAGGTGTTTTTACCTTAGAAAGAAATTTGTTGTCAGATTTAGAAAGACATAGTAAACAAATTGAAGATGTTCTTAATAGAAAATCAAAATTTCTCATGTCCTGTAGATTGGCAGTATACAATGAGGCAAAGGTATTAGATGTAGTGTTTCTTGAAATTGATAAAATCCTTAATTTGAATGAAAAGAATGTTCTTACTTCTGAAGATCAAAAAGGTATATTTGAATCTCATATGAACAATGCAAGGATTTCATGTGAAATAGATTTAAAACTTTTGCACAGAAAGGACGTCTTCATGTTTCCACTTCTTTGTCAAATGTTCAGCAGTGACGAAAACGTCAGGAAATACGGTACACAGTTTTTTACCCGTCCTTCCGAGTGTTGGCAATCAGAAATAAATAAGATTCAGAAGAGAAATAAAATACAATATTTATCAATTGTTCTCTGCATGCTAAACAATAATTGCCTATCTGAAGAAATGCTTAGTAAAAGCAAAATGTTCCAAGAAGTATGCAGAGCTTGCAAAGTTAAGGAAAACACTGAAAATTGGGAAATATTCAAGGAATTGTCACACTTAATAGACACCTACATTACAAAAGATGATGAAAAATATACATTTATCCATGATTCAATATTTGAAGTTGTTGCATATCAATATGGACAGCAATTTCCTGATCAAATTTTGGACTATATGAACAGTAATTTTATTGCAAACAAAGTTGTTTTGGACACCAAAGAAAATACATGTAATGACGCAAAATGCATAAGATTGAATAAGTTTCAATATGAAAAACTTGCAAAAAGATTGTATGCTGATGTTAAGGCTGGAAAGCTACACGACGTTTTTTTAAATAAAGCATTGAGGGACTGTGTCTTTAAACAAAAGTTCATGGACATTTTGAAAGGAGTGCCATGTAAAGATGTCAAAAGAGAATTTTTATTACCTAGAAAAGAAAGTTTCGATAATGTAGTTTTTGACTCACAGAAAGAAAGTGAAAAACAAATCGACGAAACAAAAGGACAGAGAGAGTCTGAAAGACAAAATCTTCTGCTCGGTCTAAAATGCATTGACCAAAAGAAAATCTATGAAATACGTGCTCTTAGTTTCATAATCTATTACGGGCACCTCGATTTGCTTAATTATTTTATAAAATTGGTGAAAAAATGTCAGACATTAGATATCATTTTTGGAACTACACCCGAAGAACATGTAAGACTTCTTGTATTGGCGTGTTTCAATGGAAATTCAGATATGGTGAAAATTATGGTGGAATATATTGGAAAGGAAAATATCAATTCAATGCCTGTAGGAGATATCAAACCATCGCACAATAAACATCGATACATTACTCCAGTGATTGCTGCTTGCTTGAGAGAGAAATATGACGTTGTAAAATACTTAGTTGATAATGGAGCAGATTTAAATCCTCAAAAAAGTTATTATCCTGCTTTATGGACACCAGCTAGAACCGGGGATCTCAGAAAAGTAATGGAGTTACTCAAATTTGGTGCTGATTGTAACAAATGCAGTGGAAGGGAGATTTCTCCTTTGTATATGGCATCAAGATTCGGTCATTTGGAAGTCGTTAAAAAACTCATTGAGCATGGTGCCGACATTAACAAATGTGATATAAAAGGTTGGTCATCCTTGCATATAGCATCGCTATATGGTCATTCATTTGTTTTAGAAACATTAATCCATAAGGGTGCTGAGTGCGATCGATGCGATAAAAATAAAGTAACTCCTTTACATAGAGCGTCTTTAGAAGGTCATGTTCCTGTTGTAGAAATTTTATTGAAAAATGGTGCCGACAGCAACAAGTGTGAAATTCATGGTTCATCGTCTTTGCATCTAGCTTCATTAAATGGTCATTTGTCTGTTGTAGAGACATTACTACTGCACGGTGCTGAGTGTGATAGATGCGATGAAGAAAATCTAACACCCCTACATTTTGCTTCATTTAGAGGATTTGTTCTTGTTGTAGAAAAATTAGTAGAACATGGTGCTGACGTCAACAAGTGTAACAATAATGGTCGGTCTTCTCTGCATTTAGCTTCACAAAATGGTCAATTGTCAGTCGTAGAAAAATTAATTTCCCACGGTGCTAAATGTGGCCAGTGCGATATAAATAAATCAACTCCTTTGCATTTTGCATCCGAGGAAGGCCATCTTCCTGTTGTAGAAAAACTGATTGAACATTGTGCTGATGTCAAAGTATGTAACATTCACGGTCAGTCTTCTCTGCATTTAGCATCAAAACGTGGTCATTTGCATGTAGTAAAAACATTAATTAGACACGGTGCTAAATGTGACCAATACGATATAAATAAATCAACGCCTTTGCATTTTGCATCCGAGGAAGGCCATCTTCATGTTGTAGAAAAACTGATTGCACATTGTGCTGATGTCAAAGTGTGTAATATTCACGGTCAGTCGCCTCTGCATTTAGCATCAAAACGTGGTCAGTTGCATGTAGTAGAAACATTAATTCGACATGGTGCTGAATGTGATCAATGCGATAACAATAATTTAACTCCTCTACATAAAGCGTGTTTTGGGGGTCATTCTCTCGTGGTAGAAAAAATTATTGAAAGTGGAGTCGACATCAACAAGAGTGATAATAAAGGTTCATCACCTCTTCTTTTAGCCATATGGGAGGGCCATCTTCCAGTTGTAGAAAAGCTTATTGAACTCGGTGCAGACATCAACACCTGTTATATAAATCGTTGGACACCTCTCCTTTTAGCATCATGGGAAGGCCATGATTTAATTGTAGAAAAATTACTGGGAAGCGATGCGGATGTCAACAAGTGTAATAATTATGGTTGGTCACCCCTACTTTTATCGTCATGGAAAGGTCATTTATCAGTTGTAGACATACTTATAATGCACGGTGCCGACATCAACAACGTCTACATCAATGGTTGGTCACCTCTATCTTTAGCGTCTTGGGAAGGCCATCTTTCAGTTGTAGAAAAACTCATTGAGCAAGGAGCTGACATCAACAAATGTGATGTCAATAGTAAGTCATCAAAGAATTCAAAGAATAATCAGACAGCTGTTGTTGAAACAAATATTAAAGAACCTTCAATGAGCCATGCTCCGATTGTAGAAATAATGAGTGAAAGCGGTACCGACATTAACCAGTGTGATTATAATGGTTCATCACCTTTACTTTTAGCGATATGGAAAGGGCATCTGTCAGTTGTGGAAAAGCTTGTTGAACAGGGTGCAAACATAAATAGGTGTTATAAAAATGGTTGGTCACCTTTACTTTTGTCGTCATGGAAAGGCCAATTTCAAGTTGTAGAAAAACTGTTGATGCATGGTGCTGACAGCAATAACTGTTATATTAATGGCTGGTCTCCTTTATCTTTAGCATCGTGGGAGGGTCATCTCTCGGTTGTAGAAAAACTTATTGAGTAAGGTGCTGATGTGAACAAATGTGATGCTAATGGTCAGTTACCTCTGCATTTAGCGGCAAAGAATTGTCATTTTTCTGTGGTGAAAACATAGACTCTGCATTTGTTTGATAAACTTAACTGATAAAAAAAAAACAAAGAAAACATCTTTAGAAAATGGATTCGAACTTATGATTATTTACAACAAGATTGCAAATCAATTGTAAGAGACTAGTCTTTCGGTATTTCCTTATCTTCATCAAGTAACCATAGTCGAGTTTTCATGAAGAAACGCGATTTTAAAATCACTTACCGGGTAAAGCTTGCACATATAATCATAGCGTGTCACTTTTAAGATTATAAAATTGTAAATAAATGGCTTGCTGCAAAACGTTTTCGTAGGAATAATAGGTGAGGACAACAT